CTGAATTATCCATTTCAAGAAATTCCCTTCATCCTCATGAAAGTGTCCTACATCCGCTACAGCTCACGGAATCAACCAAGAAAATTCTTTCTTCCTCCACATAATCGCATTTTCCCCTCCTGTTTCTCACCACTCTGATTTCATTCTCGTCTGTAATCTAAAAAAGTAGGCAATTGGAGGAGAAAAGACCGGAAGTGGAAGCAGTAGTTCTTTTCCTACAGTATCTAGCCCACAATAATCGACCCATTGAGCATCACACCTGCACGTCTTGATGTTTTGCGAGTATCAGTGCACTCCATCGAAGAGTTGTGGCGGTAGTTTCCATCCCGGCTAGGAAGAGATCAGAGCATACATTAAAAAGGTTGTCGTAGCTAAAAATGGTATTCTGAGCGGTCTGAAGCCAGAGAAGCGACATGCCCTTTACCTCACCTCAAGAGAGGATTAGTTTTCATCTGTTTGTAATATGCGTGAACGAAACATTCTGGTTGCTGGGTGTCAAGTCACACACAGAGCGGTTGTTTGAACGAATCGCATAGTATGGGCTATTCGAACTTTATTCAAACGCTCAGTATTAACAAGTATAGGGCTTCTTAGTGTGGATCGATTCCAATCATTGGAAGTGCCCCGCACGGGACTTCCGTTCAGAATAGTAGTGGCGTTCGTATGTGCATATGGCCTATACAATGACTTGCGGAGGCCAATCGCTGTACATGTCAATGCCTTAATCATCCCAGACGAGTCTGGCATTATTTACCCGACCCCGAAAAGATGGAAGGCTTGGTTTTCATGGAAGTATAGTGGTCCGGGGTAGACCGTGGACCATGGGTGTGATAGTGCTGGCTACTTATCGCTATACCGCTTCCCCCTTCATTGTTGTCGTGCAATGTTGTAGTATGACTTTTTGATATTCCTTGGTGAATTTAATGTACAATTTTATGAACAATTCAATGAAATCATATACAAGCAATTGACGATAAGATTTCCGAAAAATCCACTGGTTCCGAAAACTGCTCGAAGGTGGTCTATGTCATTGCATAATAGGGACCAGTCGAAGGGGTTGAATTTTCGGTAGAAGAATTCCACCAACTATTGGTTCCAAGTCGACTTTACGTCCTTTTGTAGGTTCGATCTGAAAATACTCTGTTAATCTCCAATCCGGACCTTTAAAAAGCTTTGAGGCTTCTCTTTTGTGTTGTGGAAACAGCGCGAGTAAGTTAGGTAGGATTGTTTGTTGCGGAGAGTAAAATAAAACACTCACAAATTCAGCAAAAGATGGAGAAAGTGACTTAGTTCTGACGCAGTAATCACGGTGGTAATACGGATAACTACTTTACTTACCCAACTAGCTTCAAAGACAGCAGGTTCAGCAAAGAAGAAGAAAAAGAAAAAAAGCACTGCCATCAAAATCACATCGAACAAACATACCCTATAGTTTTGAAGTAATGAGACAACACCAACAAAAAGTTCGACTCGAGCTAATGCCTCTCCAGCACATTGCCTTTTACCCATCGAGAAAGGGCATAGGTGATCAACGGCCTCCTAAATACAGTACCCATGATGGTAATTCAAAGCACATCGTATGGCATAAGTCAGGTCATCTGATACTTTCAGACGCCTAACCCAAATAACCATAATGAACTAATTATAGAAGCGTTCTACGCTGACAAAAAACTGCATTAGAATTTCAATTGCCAGTTTGATTCTGACTGTAAATCTGATTCGTGGCGCAATCAAGTGCTGTGTCAATCATAGCACAAGACACTTCTGCCGATCTCACTGGATTTCATATTTGAATCAAGAAAATCATTCACGCACCTTATTGGGAGTGACACCATCCTCCATAAGGAATCGTTCTGGACGGAATTCGTGCCCATCTTTGAACACGGGCGAGTGAGCGAGAATTTGATGAATTTCNCCAAGCACATGGGTGTCTGCAGGAATTTTCACTCCTTTCACGGAAGTGTCCCTTACAGTTCGATGAACGACATTCATAGGAAGAATATTAGCCCATCGTTGGATTTCCTGGATTGTTGCACTGAAAACATTTCACTACTGTGAAGAAACTAATAGCAACAAGGATTGATTTCGTTAGTGATTGAAGGATTTTTTAATTATTTGGCAGTGTTCGGGAAGTGGTGAACTACGCAGGACTAACCAGCTCTTTTGACTAGATTGCCTGCATTATGGTAAGCCTCCATTGATTAGTTATGCCTTGGCCATGAAGAAGGCAACCTAGATCAAAATTTACGTCTTCATCTAAAAGTTCAGCCCTGATTCTGAGAATTTTAGCCCAAGTATACAATGGAGATATCTGGAGGCCTTCTATCACAGTAGAAACGTGAGCTATGGTAAAACGCTAAGTAATAAATGCATGGGAAGGCTATATATTCATTCAAAATGGATGGGGAGGAAGTTTCCACTCCAATACTTCGAATTTTATACAGCCCTATTACGATTCCTACGGACAGCTTTGAAAAATTAAAAGATCTGAGAACCGATCCACGTCCTACTCACTTGGTATAGGGCATTTTTTGTCTGTCCGATGAAGTTGGCTTGCCTTCTGGACCGATGACTCTCAGAATCTCTTCACGAACTTTTTCCTAAAATGAACCTAATTATTATTATAAAAAAAGTTCTCTACCACAAAATGGGTGTTTCCGAATATCAGCGAGCAAGACAATCGAAATAACATTTGAAAAGTTTCAAATGATTATTACATTTACAACTACAACTATAATCGAATAACATATTATAAGCAGAACGTGAGGCCTTTTATCTTTCCCCTCCGCGTCTGGTTTTTTTTTTCTACTCTAAACGATGGTTGCATAAAGGTGAAACAAAGAAAAGACAGCACCCTTGTTTAGCCTCACTATCTGACATCATCGGTCATTTGAGAGTAATTGTTGTTGAAGTAATGTGGAGATTAAATCGATTTCCCTCTGTTTTTTTTACCAACAAATACAAGTTGCATGGTTAAAGGCAATGTTCTGTCTGGTCTACCTGCTCTTCTGGGTGAGTAGCAAACAGTAATGTGGCCCATCTAAGTGTTGTCGTAGTCGTCTCCATACCAGCCGTATAGAAGTCCATACATACATTGAGCAGATTGTCATAGCTGAAATTCGAAAGCCTTTTTCGAGAAGTTTCTAGTGTTTACATGATGCGGGGGATACGGTAGGCACTGTGGGTTGATTCATGACAAGAATATATGGGTGCAATAACCAGTAGTGGGTTGCAGCGTCAGAGTAGTAAAATGGCATTTTTGCTGCAGTAAGCCCTTGCTAAACGTAATTCACGCCAAGCCTGTGCTATTCTGGATGTATTGAAAATTTTATTCTCTTCAAAAACTAGAGTTATTAGAACGAATATAAAATGTTACGGGCGGTACTTTTTGAATTGGCGAATCCGGCCATCCCGGCTGAGGAAGCCTTGAAGAGAGTAGCGTTCAAGCAAAGATATGCGTATGAAATCCATACTAATCGATTCTCACCACGACTGATAGCTACAGAAACTCGGAGATATGGAGCCAAGTTGATTATGGTCACATGCATAGCACGGGAACGAATCCCCAAGCCATGTGTGTGATGATATCAAAATAATAACCACCCAGGCTGACCATGACTTTTATGACTTTGGGATCGGTTAAATGGTACCAGACTTGTGAAGGAGGAAAAACAATGACTACACTGATCACAATTGCAAATGGGCCGGCGCCAACTAATGCTCGTTCGTAAGTCGTTGTAGGCGACATGTGAGCCATGCATCTAAGCGCCACCGCAATTCCGAATAGAAGTCGGGGAGGGGAAGGAAGATAAGGAGTAGCATTTCGTGAAGTTTCGACTAATCAGCGTCATAAGAATTGTTCTCCTATGTACTCTTTTTATCAACTCACTCCAAAAGAGGATTGCTCTGCATCTTTTGATAATATGCTTGTACTAGACATTCAGGCTCCTGATCCACTGTATATGATTCCAGCGCCCGTGTCACGTCTTCTCTGATTGTTTGACGGAGCTACAGAAAAGGAGATGAGAAAGACATTCTCCCATTCATGACTAAATTGTACTGACAATCTTTTCACACTTACTCCAGCAGTCATGTCCACGAATCGTCCTTTTGCCATATGTCCAATAACTGGTAGGCGATAGATGATTGGGAAAAATTGACCGAGGAATATCAGTCGGCTTTCCCTAAAATCATAAAAATCCAAGAACAATGAAGCGTGGTCATCGCAACAAAACTGGCCGCCATATCAGAAACGAATCTTTTGACTGAGCAAGTTTCCTAGAACTGCAGCTTTCGTGGCACTTAAATTATACCCGTATCTTCATAGCCTTGGAAAGCCAGGCACCGAAAAAACTATAATTCATGGATTAGGGCTTTGAATGAGATTTTTTATCAGACGTGACCTTGAATGCCGAGTCGAGTCAGCGTTGAAGAGCTACAAGGATGATTCACTTCAAAATTTCAAGAAGAAAAAAAGCACGAATGCTTCCTTGATCCTTTTCAATATTAGTCCCCCCTATCAGTTGTACAAAATACTTACCTCATTCCTTCTATTAGAGCATTGAGTTCTTTAGCTGCTTTCATCATCCTATCACTTTTATCGTATTCATAACTGTAGCCATACAGGGTCTTGTTGATGATATTTCCTATGAAAACCTGAAAATAGCCACTCTATTGTAATTTTCCTGAACAGAATTTGACTGTTCTCAAGAATGACCTTCTAGGATTCCTGGATACAAGTTGAAAGGGAACACACCTGAATTGGTTCACGGAGACAAATCTCGTCTTTGTTTTTGATGGAGGACAGGTGAGCAAGAAAATCATGGGCAGAAAGCAAAACCTGAAATTAGAATTGAGTTGAGGTTGTCGACTGATTGCCTCTAAATCCACTCATGACAAGGCTTTTCAACCTGTAACATGGAACTAGTGGTCGTAACTCAACCGAATCGGCAACCAACAAGCATGAGCTACCCTCAACCTTCTCGATTGCTTCTCTCGAAATGCTATTCATCAATAAGTATTTCAGGATTTAAGTGGATCACTTGGGTCTAAACGATGCTTTCAGTGTGGAGAACACTTGGTAAGCCACTCGACCTTATGATTCCCCTCCTTCCCTACGTATGTCCTTATCTTCTCTATCTATTACTCTTTTGAAGCCAACTCTATAAACTCTATAACACTAGTGAATCGCTAGGTGCTTTTGAAAACTCTAGTAATGACTAGTATTCTCTACTGTCTAGCAGTGTAGCAGAATTAAGCTAGAGCGGTATACGTAAAGGTTCTTTCACTCTCGGACTTTGATGGACAAAATAGGTAGGTTCTGATAACTTCGCTCCCCGATTTTCTTCCTTGTTTTCTGCTCAATTGTGATGGCGTACTCATCTATGGACTTTTTATTAACATACCTGACAATAGGTATTACACTCAATTACTGGCTATTTTAAAAACATCGAAGTCGGTACCTGTTCTTCCATCAAGTTCTTTCCCATTCCAAAATCTCTAAGAATGTGCAGCGATGCTCGACGTTGTTCTCTCCAATTCTCGCCCTACATAACAGAAGTAATGGTTAGTTGTTAAACTCGTAATGATGATATTGATAACAATCAGAACAAACAAATAGTCAGCGATGATAATAATAGCATGCCTGCCTGCGATGATATAGTGCTTTTTTAGTACCTAAAAAATAAGGATAAAGCCATTGGACGTTACTCAATCCCATCTGAGGGATGCGCCACACATTCGACTCTCATTCCGAATCGTAGTGCCGTATTGAATGCGTATGCAGTGATCTGCGGTGGACAGCCGATGTGAAACTCAGTGCTTTTATCCTCCCACACGAGCCTGGTACCAATTCACCGACCCCGAAGAGATAGAAGGCCAGATCGGCCTGGGCGTATACCCATGGATTTTTACCCGTGACCACTGTGGGATACTGCACCACTTACCAATATTTGTAGGATATAATAATATATAAATTTTATTATTTATTATTTACTTATATTTATTTATTAATATCTATTTTTTCTTTTTTTAAATTTTTTTCCTGAAATTGAACATTTGGAGCTGACCCTAGTTTCGAGAAAAAAGTTTATTTTAGAGCATAGGTTTGCATGTTTACCTGTGAAAAAATTACTCCACCGTTCTCAACATTCTGGAATAAGGTGTCTGGGAAAATGCCGGAACGACCAATGAAGTCATCACCTGAACGTCTACACTTCAAAAAAATATCATTTGGAATTTGGTGCTCCGTTCACTTGTTATATGTCAGCGCATTTGGACGAACTGCCACCTTCCCACTACCAACAGAAGCTTCGGTTTCAGAACAAACACCGTTTCTTATTGACAATGTCGTATTAGTTGAACAAAGATTAGGCCGCCCAACCGCAGCTATCTATTGGGTTTCACGCTTACCGAAAAGTCATCGAAATCATAGTATAATACATTCTCTGTAAATGACATGAAAGCCAATAAATAGGGTAGATTTCCAGCTGATCCACTCTGGAGAGGAGCTGTGGTATATACGAAAGATGAAGTCGGTTGTAGGATCCATGGGCATCGTTGGATCGGCTGACCAGGAATTTATCACTCACGACTGTTATTATGATCGAATTATACCGATAATTGTTTGGATTCACTAGTGACTTCTTAACAGTCCTAGGAAATGTCCACCCTTCGTCAAACATTCGCTAGTACTCCCTCTTTCTCTTCAGTTTTGAATAAAAGCAATTTCCCGTTGGCGATCTGGGACCAAAAGATGTGAACAGAAAAAGCATAAGGAGACGAGGGCCCCACACTGTATCCAAGGAGCAAAACTCAAACTTTATGTCCATATTATACTTTGGTCGCTTATTTGCAGACAGACCCGACTTCAGCTGAATAAGAGCCCTGTCCCTACATTCAGTAGCCAATACACTGGGTAAGCCATAAAGGAGAAAACCATCTCGTCGGCCTTGAAAGTGAGCCAAATATGAAGACACTCTTCAAAACGATACTGATCGGTTGTAAGTTATCTACTTCAGCAGCTGTAGAACCGAGACTTTTTGCTAAAACTTCATTTGGCTTGCTGTATTCAACGCTTTTCTTCAAGCCGAAGAGCCCGGGAAGGCAAAATTCTCCTGAACACCACACTCGGACATTGCATCNGAGGGCCCCACACTGTATCCAAGGAGCAAAACTCAAACTTTATGTCCATATTATACTTTGGTCGCTTATTTGGTGGCAGACCCGACTTCAGCAGAATAAAAGCCTTGTCCCTACATTCAGTGGCCAATTCACTGGGTAAGCCATAAAGGAGGAAACCATCTCGTCGGCCTTGAAAGTGAGCCAAATATGAAGACACTCTTCAAAACGATACTGATCGGTTGTAAGTTATCTACTTCAGCAGCTGTAGAACCGAGACTTTTTGCTAAAACTTCATTTGGCTTGCTGTATTCAACGCTTTTCTTCAAGCCGAAGAGCCCGGGAAGGCAAAATTCTCCTGAACACCACACTCGGACATTGCATCTAGATTGATGGGTTCCAAAGAATTCATTCCATGATTTCTCAACAAAGTTTTCGATACAAAAAATTCACTATCGGTTCCAGTAGGGGGACAACACGAGAAGGACACACTAAAGGAACTCGCTGTACTATTTCCGACAAATTGTTTGCCAAGTTCTGGTGGGAGCGTTTGCTTATCGTAGGTAGAAACAGCCAATGTAGCGTTTCTCAAGGGCAAAGTTTGCAAACAAATGTAAAATCTCACCTTTTTTTACGAATGCCTCTTTGACACCATCGAAATCCGTAATAACTACATGAGGCTTGGGCAGATAGACCGTAAATATGCTACCATACTCCTTGGTATACTTGGCAAATTCCTTGTGTATTTTGAAAAAGTTCAACTGTAAATAAACAAGGTCCACTGGAACTAATTGGCAGTTCAAAGAGTTCAAACTTACTAACCGATAGTAGGTTTCCAACAAATGGGTATGGAGGTGGTCCTTTGGGATAGCGCTTGATGTTCTCATAGAATCGCCATATATAGATGGCTAGAGCAGTAGTTAAAAGAAGTAATGCCCAGAGGAAAAACATGTGTTGAACACTTCAGGTGACTGGTTTCCCTTCCTACATATGAGCGCAGGCGGCCCTTGTGATTTGTGCGATACGGCGGCGCACGCCCTCAGCGCCTAACAATTCAAGCCTTGCTTTTCTTCTACAGGGTGCTGGATTGAGAAAATAAAATATTTAAAATATCAAGAGAACAATAGCAAAAATTTGGGGTTTCAGAGTTTTCAAGCCACTTGATGCCAATTTTTTTCAGTGGGATGGCAAAATGACCCATTTTTCTATTTAACTATTCCGTCATGCGCCTAATTCAATTAATCACATAAACTGAAAGGCACAGTCCACAACTACTTTGAGGTACCTCATTTTAGTCAAAAAGCGGAAATGTGAAGTAGGAATTGTTCATCGGTAGTGAAGAAAGCGAGAAAATTCGCCGATTTCGAGTGAATATGGTTCCTCAAAATAGGAATAATAGAGCTCGGACGAGATCACCATGACGAAACTAAAATGCAAGGGAAATTAGGACGCACTTAATGGGTCACACTTTTTATTGATGAGGTGGAGCAGGGGTGGGTGGAAAGTGTCAGGCTGATCCCAGCCACGTTCAATTAATCAAAGTCAATATGGAATCCAGTTGTAGTTTGTGATTAAACCACAACCACGCTGAAGAACTTCAATCTCGATCTATCTTCTAATTGTTCTTGACATCTGATTTCTCTAGGATGGATCACGCGCATTCACGCAGCGCACAAATCACAAGTTGACGTTTACAGGGAAAACTCACAAGTTGAATTATAGATCGATAATTAAATCGATATATTGTAACCAGGTGTCCAATAATAAAAGAAGTGAAATTAGAACTTTTCGCAAGCTGATCGATCCCGTTTGAGAGATGCGCCTGGCATTCGACTTCTATTCAGAATCGTACTGGCTTAATGAATGCATATGTCGCTTACACAATGACATGCGGTGGTCAGCCAATGTAAAAATCAGTGCTTTCATCCTCTGAGACGACCAGCTAACCGTTCAAGCTGGGATGGAAGGCTTGGCTGGTCCAGCCCTAGCAGCGATCTGGGGTTCGATCCCAAGACCACGCGTTCGTAATAGGGCGATAGTTGCAAGTTACACAACCTCCGCTCCGAATCTCTCATAGTCATATCCATATAATGTTCTGATGGTGAGAAAATCTTCAGGCGAGTATTATATGTCGTTTTTTAAAATACTGTAAGACACTGCAATGGGCTTTGTTCGGGTCATATAGAGGATCTCCGGCGAAGATGTAATGAAACCCAATCTATAAGCAAATCACATTTGTCCAGTTACCTGAGAAAGTGGAGCAGAGATGTTGTTGTGTCAAGTAACATACGTTACTACACCATGATAAAGGGATCGGATCCCAGGTTGATACTCGCCTGAGCCAACCAAACCTTACATTCTTACGGGGTCGAAACTGGTACCGAACGCGTGTGGATGGGATAAAAGCACTGAGCATCGACAAACTATCGCAACTCATTGTATTGCCCGCATTTGTACGCACTCAAAAATTCTACCTCGATGCAGAATGGGAGTTGAATGCAGAGCGCATTCCAAAGACAGAATTGATTGATGCCAATAGGATTTATCTTTTGTCTGTTGGATAGAAGTTTATGCCTCGTAACAAACCAGTATGAATCCATTATGGATCAATATGAGTTCATGTGAACTAAGAAACTTGAAGCGCACAGCTTGAGGGAAAATATCTAGTTACAAATGTAACTACATATAAAATTTACAAGAGCAGCATTACAAAAAATGTCTCAAATCGGCACGATACGAAGGAGTTGTGGTTTTGGTAGCATTACAGTAGCCAGAGTAGGTTCCAAATCAATTTCCTGTCCTTTTACGGGTTCAATCTGGAAAAACAGCATGAAATTCGATATCTGGCCCCTTCTGTAGAGTTTTCTGAAGAAAAACATCTAAGTTCTAAAGAAAACTAGTAAACACACCTTGAAATTTTGCACAATTGTGATGAGTCCGATGAAGAGCTCCATTTTTGCCATTCCCTCCCCAACGCACACCCTTTTTCCAATGGAGAAGGGGCAAAATTGCTCCATAGCTTCCTGAAATCAATTTTTCATACGACTTAATGAGTTTCATGACTACAATCTTCACTTTCAAAGCAGAAAAGGAACTGGACAATTAGTGGGTCTCTCTTCATTAGATATCCGAGATTCTTCAAATCCACAGATTAACTTACAAACTCGGACCATACTCAGAAATATATGTACTTGGAAATTGGATTTGATAGTAAGCTAGGAAATAATTTATTGGTTACCTTATTAGGTGTTACGCCATCGTCCATCAGGAACCGTTCAGGTGAAAACTTCTCCGGGGTTGTGAAGACTGGTGAATTTGCCATTACGTTGTGGATTTGTCCCAAGACTAAGGTGTCAGCTGGGATAGGATACGAACCAATGAATGTATCCTTCACAGTGCGATGAACAGGGTTGATTGCTATGATGTTCGCGAATCGCTGGACTTCGAGAACGGCTGCACTGAAAAATGTGCACTGTAAATGAAAGTGGAACTTCCAACCATAGTGAATTAAAAAATAATTCGAAATAGTTTATCAGCCTTTATTGGGAAACAAGGTGGGAGTATTAATGCAGAATAGTCTATCGATGGCGAAGACAGGGCCCCGAATATAGGGCCTTCTGGTAACTTGCCGTTTCTATAGTTGGACGAGATTTCATCTGATGTATGGCAATGCATATGTATATCAGATGACTGCATTTGTATGAAGCGTGCTCCATTTTGGATCATCTGAGCCCCTTCAGGGTCACGGAGGCAACAATGCCAAACGGCGACATCTTTGCCACCCAAAACCTTTTTGGCAGCCTTCTTCTGGAAGTAGTGTATGATGTCCTTGGGATAATGTAGGAGTAGTCTAACCACAGGCTGGCTGCCTGTTAGAGAAAAAGAAGATTTGTATTTTTTGCTATTATTTGATAGTATAACTTTTAAAACTTTGGCCCATAGAAGGTGGTACTGATTTTTAGTGGGATCATGAATGATTAGTTGTTATTGCATG